AGTTAAGTTTGTAAATATTTTAACAGCTCTCACACAACGCTTAGTGTTTTTCAAACAAACATTTCCTTCTTGATTCTGGACTTCATTCACCCACAGTTTTTTGTTACAAGCTGAGTACATTATCTCTCTGGCTGGGAATTTCTATTACTCATTAATATGTCATACAGTGGAAGAGGCCCCTGTTCTTTGACCAAGGCATTGTAATTCAATTTAATAGAATCTTGTGATGCTAAATTGCTTTTCCAAGACGCTACCACTCAGGGACATAAAACTGTATCAGTGTACAGAGGTAAAACCTATAGCTAATAACTAGAGAGTAAAATAATTTTCCACTAAAATCTCTCTTCTCTAATTATAATTTGAGATTTGGCATCTTGCCTTTCATATTTTTCCCAAGTCACTAACATTTTGTTCCAGATGGTACTTGGTTAAGTTAAAAAAGATATTAAAAGAGGGGCCTTAACTGTAATCTCTACTATAGCCAGAGAAATGACCAAAAAAGCCAGCCAGCTTTGATTTGTGGTGTATAATGGATGAGCTGGTACTAAGGGCAGGCTCTTCAATAGGGAAATACACACTTCATAGGAGGGAACGATTTCAGATTATTAGAAACCATTCAACGTAGAATTTAACTGTGCTGCAGCTCTGCTATTTAATATTCCACATCAACTATTTCTGTTTAGCATCTATGTGACAACATCAAACATTTACGTAAATATTTCACTATTACAGGAAAACTACAGAATATGGGGAGATCCATGAGCTCACAACAGAAGAACAGTTTGTAGAAGGAGTCTACAGGGTTGAGTTTGACACCAGCTCTTACTGGAAGGGACTTGGCCTTTCTCCATTCCATGAATATGCTGATGTAAGTATTTGCAAATATATCCAATAACCTATATACTGTGTAGTGGCATCAGCTGGAAAGAACAAATGCAGTCCTTTAATACTAAAGGAGCAGTCTCATTCAGTGAAATGGTTCACTGCCACATAACATTGGGCAAATAAAGGCAGTATATAGCTGGCTAAGCCAAAGAAAGTAGCCAACTTCCCTGCAAGTACTGACATAGCTCTTCTGAAGTGGAGCTGTGCCCATTCACTCATTCAGAGAAATAGGAAACTTTGTTAAAAAAGAGCTACATTGTTCAAAAGTACACAATGTTTAAAAAGCAAACAAATTTTAAAAATAACACAAGGGAAAAAATACTGCTTTTATTGTTGCTGAAGTAATATAGATTTGGAAGCCCTAATTTTATAGGAAATAAGCTAGTATTTAATCAAAGGTATTTCCTCGGTATCAATCACCTGAAAATCACTGAATTCTGTATGATCTGTAATTACAGGGAAAGTAATTCCTTCTGATGTGCCTTTTTTTAAAAACAAAAAAAAATTATGCTTGGTCTGAAATATGCAATAGAATTAAAAAAATAAAGAAAGAACCATGGTGGGAAAGGAAAAGTTGGCTCTTTCATCGATACTCAATTTTTATACCCTGGCCACCAACACAATCGTGTCTCTCTCTGCTTATAGCCCTACACTGATTTATTGTGTGCTGTATTCTATTACATTTACTTAGCACTTTGTTCTGGGTTTGAGCAAAAATGTTTACATTCTTCTTTAGTGGCTTAATCTGCCACTAAATTTAAGTCTCACCAAATTAAGTAGTCTGGAATGGCTACATGTTGTACTGTACAACATTTCTAAGTTCTCAGTTTATGAAGCTCTATGGAAGACTGTAACAAACGACTGAGGCCCAGGTCACTAAAAGTCTGAGGTGTGGTGCAGGTCATTTAAGTCAAGTGAACAATCCTCAAAAATATTCCTCAGCATTTGGAGGTCTGAAAGTTGTTTGGCCTACACAGAAGGGCTTCACCCCACAAGATGTTTAAAAGCACCTGCTTGAGACTGTTCCACCTGGACTGCTGAAGCAGCTTTCTTTTGATGTAACAGCCTACAGGTTTACAAATTAGCCTGGGAAGGGGCAGAGTTCAATGACTGTCTGTGCAGAAGGTAACTGAAGCCTACAGTCATCACATCCCAGCAGCTTAGACTTTGTCAGGACCAAGATGTAGAATGAAACTCTCTGGTCTCTTTCTCTTATAGAAAGTACAGCATGATTTAGAAAATAGATCAAATATTAGGCTGAAGAGAGACAAAGGAAGTGGGAGCTTAACCTCGGTGATGACACAAACTGGGTGTCCCAAGGCCCAGGGACTGATTCAGACAGCAGCAGATTTGAATCACCTTAGGGCAAGGGTCTCTCCTTGTTCTGGCAAAGCCTGATCACTCAGTTCTGGGTGCAAGAACAGACCCATCACCAGCTATGTTAAAAACAAGAGTGGGACACTAAAGTACAGCAAGCAGCGCCAGGTTCCAACTGCCTACCTTACTCAGACACCTCACATGGAGGCTGTATTTAAGTTCATTAGATGGGATTTCACCTGTCTTACTGGTTGTTTGAGATACCTCCCCCTCATCCTCCCATTCCACAACACAAACTAGTTTGTCTGTCTCAGGTGTAGGTATCTCCACCTAGCTTCACTGTAGCCAAGGTTCTTTGTGGACCTCATGCCAAATCTCATAAATTTCTTAGTCTTCAGTAAGCATCACAACGCAACAGGGAGCATTACTTTTCAGAAGGGTAAAATTATTGACTGGACAGAAGTGGTAAAACACTCTGCAGAGGAAATGGAGTGTGCTTATCGATTCTTAACTAGGTAGCTTTGAATGTACATTCTTCATCGTGACCACAAGTTTTCTCTTTTCCAGGTGGTGTTCACTGCTAATGATTCTGGTCACCGCCACTATACCATTGCTGCTCTCCTCAGTCCCTTCTCTTATTCAACCACTGCTGTTGTCAGTGATCCCCAGGAATAAACATGTACTGTTGTTACACAAACACCCTCAGCTGCTAGAACTATTGTAGGCTTTTAGAAGGATGTTTTTTCCTACTGCTAACGCATAACTTTTTGCCACATTAGGTGTTGTTTGTTTTTTTTTCATTTTGTAACCTTGCAAACTTCAGACAAGTCAATAAAATGTTACTTCTTTAAAAGAGTTTTGATTCTATTGGTGAAATTTTATTGTGCTCTAAGGTGTCATTATTTCTCTTCAAGTGCAAAGGACATCTGGAAAACATGCATGGCATGGTGCTTGATTTGGTTCTGTTATCTTCCTCCATTACCTTGAAAAATTCTCACCAAAGGTACTGGCTCAAAATAAGAAATTTATAGAGTTGTGCTACTGTAAAAAAATTGACCAAACTCAGGTACTCCAGATAAGAAAATTATCCTTGCTATTCATAGTTTACACACAGAAGAGATGATCCCACTATCAACTAGATGACAGGGTCAGCAGGAGAAATGCTGACTACATAGCAGCAGAACAAACAATACAGAAAGACTGCTGAAATATGTACACATCCAGAAAGATGAAAGAGTTAAAATCTGTGTACCTTTACTTAAAACTTCAGGTAAGCCTGAACACTTTGTCATTTCAAGAGGTAAGTTTGCTGCTCAATCAATCTAGGAAGTTCTGAAGGAATTTCAATTGCTTCAATTTTAACAACTTTGATCTTTAACCCAGCTGGCTATGTGTTTGGGTGCATTCCAATTAACCCTCTAAGAAGTCAAACCTCTAGACATCATTAAAAAAAAAAAAGTCATAAAATAGAAGCATCACCTTAATATTCTCTCCATATTTTTAAGAAACAGAAAAAGGTAAGCTGTAGAGTGACTGTGATTCAAATGCTGTTGTTGGAAACTGACCAAAGACTTTGAGGGCTTTAGCAGTGATTTCTGTAGACTGATGGCCTATTGTATTTAAAATTGCCTGAAGCAGAGAATTTGCTTTTTAATGGGATTACAGAAACTATAGAGAAAGTTACTGAAATCATGCCATTCACAATCAGCACTCATCTGCCACTGACCTTGGAGTTTATCCCTACACCCAGAGCCTGCTGGGATGACTGCATACCAAGTGAATTCACAAGTTACAAAAGCTTGCCTTTAATGTTTCACTCTTTGGCTACTTTTTTCCCCTGGTATCTGGACACTACGGTGGTTATGCAACTCTTGTAAGCAGTGCAAATAGTTTCAAAACAGCAGTTGTCTTAAAGCATGCAAATTTCACGGGATCCTGCTCCTCCTGAAGCTTGAAAATCAGTAAGTTTGATTTGCAGTGAGCTACATCTAGTCCTCAAAATAGGACATAAACACGTACAAGAAGGTATAGTCATCAAAAAAACCCAAGCAAAATAACTACTCTGCACGTAGTCATCTATGTGATACAGGACAAACCTAGAAAGAGAGTGTAAGCACATGGGTCTAACCAGAAATCAGGAAGACAAAGTTTAATTTCAGGAAGTACCACTTCCCTAAAACAAAGCACATGCATCTGGTGATAGGTGACTTGCAGTTTTAAAGGAAAGGCCCCAAACTTTTATAGAATCTAAAAGACAAGTAAAGTGATAGGTCTTAAAACACTGTTTTATTGTGCTTTAGAAATGGGTATGTAGGTATTTGATTATCATGCTGGAAAACAAGTTTTTACCTTTTATCAGAGGTGGACAGAAGGCCACCACAGACAGAAGTCTCTTAATAGAGAAACATGGGTGAGTCAATTACACCAAGCCATAACCGCAGAGAAATTCTCAATGAAACTGAAATTGCTGAGTTAACAAGAAATTTTTATTTCTCTCAACTGCAGGAGATCTATACAGTGCTATTTGTCAACAAAAGGAAAAATAAAACAGCATAGAAATTGTTTCCAAGAGATCACTGCAGTTGAGCTAGGCAATGTTCACAGTATTTTCACTGGCAATGACAGAAGACTTATTTTTGCAGACAAGGTTCATGTTTGTATGGGTTACTTATTTTCTCGTTGTTTACTAAGCAAATAATATGAATTGGCATGTTGAAAGTCACACCACTTTTCTGACAAGCAGTCTCAGTTTAGAGGCTTTGATATAAAAATCACAGATCCCACCAGTTTCTACCTGTTGGCACTGAGACTACCTAGTAGTAGACAAAATGGGTTTTCATTCTGTATTTCTTGTTTTCTTAGCTGGCCTGGCATTTTTCTCCGAAGCTGCACCACTGGTAAGTGTCTCAGGATTGAGGTCCTTCATACTGCTGTGGTCCTAGCTTTTTGTTTATATATATATATACTTTAACTAGTAAGTGAAAACCAGAATATTTTATTTTATTGCAATTATTTTGATTTTATGGTATGTATTTACTGTAGTTCTCTCCTCCTGCTCTTCTTCTGGTCCTTCTTTCTCCTTCTCGAGTGAGAGAGTTTAATGATTAGAGAAGCAGCTCTTGCCATTAGACTCAGTGACTATGTAAGAGAAGAAAGAAAAAATACCATATTCACTACACAAAAGCTTTGAGCCTGTTGAAAAGTAACTAATAGCCCTTATAATACAATCCCTCTCCTGTTGAGAGAGATTTCATTCCTGTTTGTGAGATCCATGCTGGAGAAACGCCTTCTCTAGTCCTCTTCCTTACCATGATATCCACTACAGCTTTACCTCACGCAAGCAGGAAGGGATCTCAGCACTCACTGATGCAAGCAATGAAGAAAGCCAAAGCCAGGATCTCACTTCCAGAGGGCTCACTTATTCCAGGCAAAGCAAGCTAGAGACACAAGACGCTTCAGCCCGAAACTGTGCTAGAACAGCCTTTCGGTCTCTCTCCCTGATTACTTCTTCCTCTCCAGCTCTGGTCTTTGAGAAAATAATACCTGAACAACCTTTGTGAGGAAGTAGGTGTTCACTGAGCTCCCAGGGTGTAAAAGCCAGGAAAACAGGTGGTGGCACTAGATCCTGCATTGCCAATGCCTCAGAAGAAACACTAGTGAGGAGCAGCTTGAGCTGTCGCTTCATACAGGTGGTAGAGATACATGCTGATGTATTGGTCTGACACAGGGCAGGGTCCACAGCCCATGGGATGTTCAGTGTATCAGAGACTGTAAGAGGGGACGGCAGAGAGGGCTCTTAAGTTTTTACTATCATTTTGCAATGATTAAATGGAGAACAATGATTGCTATTTTGAAATCATCCCCTATTAGTACCTTCCACAAGCTCCATTTTCTCACTTTTCATCTACAGAATTAGGTAATGGAAAGTCAAAGCCTTGATTCAAATCTGCCTTTGAACAGGCAAAAGATCAGGGCATAACCACCACTTGGAACTGAAACTTGGAGGTGAAGCTTCCAAGTTGGAAGTGAAACTACAGCAATCCCATCTTTGAAGGAAGGTTTTCCTCTCCTGTGCCTGCATGGCTGCCAGGGGCTGACACACCTGATCCAACCTTGTGTTATGAGAGAGTTCATATGTGGCGGTCATCAAGTTTACAGGAGAATTAAGATAACTCTGTGGTAAGAAGACATCAGAGGCTCTCAAATCCATAAAGCTGTGCTCAAATTGCCACTCCAAAATAAAAAGGAAGAGTTACCAGATTTTTAAATATTCCTACTACCTTTGACAATTTAATTATTTCCTGTTGAGATCACAATGTAGTTACAACTTCATGCTGGAGACGATGTGTAGTTAAGCCATGGCAAAAAGAAAACACACAGCCACAGTGCCTCCTCAGCACACACAGCTCCTCCTGACATCTTCCTCCTGGAAAGCTTCAGGCTACATTTCTGCAGCACACAGTGACCTTACAGAGGAAAATATGGTAGATCCTGTAGATCTAAAGAATAATATTCCAGACTGCTTTGTTATGCACCATTGCTTACCTTTCTAACAACAAAAAAATTCTCTCTTCCTATCTGAAGGACTCTGCTGACTCCAAGCACCCTCTTTTTATAAAAATTCTGGATTCAGTTCGAGGAAGTCCAGCTCCAAATGTGCCAGTTAAGTTGTATAAGGAAGCTGCAGATGGATCTTGGGAACTGTTGAATTCAAAGTAAGTCATGTCAAAATAATGAGTGAAAGAAGGGGAAGGCAATGGGAAGAGGCCAAATAGTCGAAAAAAAACCCCACATTTCACATTCTCTAATGTAAGATGGCTTTTTTACGCAGAGGAAAGATAACATACTATGGAATGCATTTGCTGCAGACCATTTTTTAACAGTAGCACAGTTTCAACTAAATTTGTTTTATAATGGTTTGTAACTACTGTGAGCACAAGAAATTCACAATTCACTCATTATTTCTCTTCAATTTCATTAGAAAGGATATTACTTTTTAGTCCCCAGCAATGAATTGCTGCACTGTTACCAGTAGAATCCTGCAGACTCTTAATTTCTTTGAAGCTTAGACTCTGGTTGAGAATCATACCAGTATTGCCTGTTTTCCTTCTTTCTACATGGATTTCACTTCAGACCACATCACAGTTTTACAAAGAAAACATGGAACTGTTTTGAACATATACTACATCATACTTGATAGCCTTCTTTGCGTCAAGAAAAAGCAATCAGCCAAAAGGAGAAAATTTGGGGATAAAGCTTTCTCACCTCCTCCCCCAAGAGAAGCAACTACTCCTAGAGTAAGAAAAAGAATCTCCTGGGTATTTAAATCTTGCCACGTCTTCTAAAAAATATGATTGTAGAATTTCAAATATAGATGGCTTTTTTTTTCAAAATTGCCATAAATTTTAGCATATTTTAACACTTTAACAAACTCAAAAGCAATTTTTTTCTACATTGAACGAGCAACATCCCACTTTCATACTTAGCTCTGCAAGATAGTTGCAAAGTCTCACTCAAGACCTCTCCACGTCTGCTAACAGTCTATTCTATACACACAAAAAAAGTGAGATAGGGCTCATAAGGGCTGAAGCTGACACAGTGTAGGAATTTCAAAAGTGGGATCCCAGAGTCAGATGCATTCCTAGGTTCCATGAGAAACTGTACATGTAAAGTGGCTCTTCGGTGTCACAGAGCAGTGAGTTGCCAGAAGTAACAGCACTTTCATACAAGGTGGGGAAGAACAACCTATTCATGTCGTCCTACTTAAATTGTCTCCCACCCTGCAAGTGAGAAAATAGCTTTGCACATATTCTGTCACTAAAAATGCATGAAATTTTCTATTAATGTGTTCGGTTTACTTATCTTCAAATCTGAGTTTAGAGACTATATAAAGATAATAGGCTGAACAGCTGGACATTGACTGGAGTCTTAAAAACATACTTAACATTTGACAAAAAAGAACAAACTAGCCTTAGGATGAGGTATGCAAAAGTCATGATAATACTAAATCAGCCTCTCCAGTCTTGTTAATTTGTAAACACTAGCAAGAGATTCTGAAGTAACTGTTCTCAATTAAAAACATGTTGGGGTTTAGCTGAGAAAGCTTATTAAAGAAATGAACGGTTATCTAACAATGCTCAGTCTACAACAAAGAAAAAAATAGAGACACTTGAATAGATAAAAAAGATCTGATAACTCACTACAAAGCATGTTGAAACTGTAAGTCATATTAAAGTACACATCCTAAGTAATGTATTGGACAATGACATAAAAAACATTCAATTCTTTATTTTTCTCTGCATGCAATTGAATAAAATACATTCAGAAAAAGATTTGGCAGCTAGAACACGAGTGGTTTGTGACTATTAAAATGAGGCACTAGCAGCACTGTTACTTGCTGACAACCTATCCAGTCAAAACCCTAGTATTATATAACTTCATTTCACAAAAATGGGTTTCAACCAAAAGGCACATTTGAGAGATAGCATTCAGTATTGGTTCTGGAGCCCTAAACTGGTTGGTGTTCAAAGGTGCAGAGTTCGAAGGCAATACTATGGCCTTGGATAAGAGTGATACCATCTTCAAATCAAACAAAACCATCTGTTTGTTGAGGATAGAAAACAAACCGATCAATAGAGACAACAGGGAATTCTGAAAGGCTATACTGCTGGCTGACCTAAAGTCATTTCACATAGCAGATCTCAAACTTTAAATAACCATCTGTAAAAAATATTCATAGATTAGAAAAACTCAATACATTTACCTAAGAAAACTATGGAAAAATCAAGAGAGTTGACGTTATTTATTTGCACAGTAAGTGCATCACAGAGCTTCCACATTGCTTACAGCAGTGGTGAAGTTTTCTCTCTGAGTGGGTTCATTTAATTAACTCCGAGACTCTGCCAAGAATCTATGAACAATAACGCCAGCTTTTGGCTCTCCCCTAAGCCATGCGGAGTAGTGCCATGGCAGGCAGCCATCTGCTGTGGCGATTGTGGAAGCAGCTAATGCCAAAATAAGCTCTGAAGCATCCATAATACAGATGGACATAAGCCATTCCAGATCAATAGAAGTATTCATCCTATTACTTAAGCTACACAAAATCACTCACGTTCAATTGCTAAGAACTGCATTTTGGGGGGGGCTTATAACTAAAATATAAAAGTGCATTCTTCTGCCATCACACAGACAATCCAATGACAACGGAGAGCTCCATGAGCTCACAACTAAAGAACAATTTGCAACAGGGATATACAAGATTGATCTTGACACAGCCTCTTACTGGAAGAGACTGGGCTTGAATCCCTTCCATCACCATGCTGATGTGAGTATGCATTTTTTCCCCGTACTCTAGTTCCAAAGACTGAGGACATTTTATACATCTAGGCTTGAACTACTAAATGCACATGTTAAACTTCGTTTTAACTTTAAAGTATATTCACATTCACACTTTAAATCCACAGTCTCTGTAACAACATAGCCGTGAGAGAACTTAGTTAGCGCCTTCCCCGTAACTCTCAATAAGCTCTTAGATGCATTACTAACAAATAGGATTTTCATCCTTCTACCTCTGCTTAAGCCTGTGATTCTTTCTGTGACTACTTCTACAACACCTGAGGGAGAACAACAGGTGGAGTACTGTTAAGTGTCCTGAGAAAAGGATTCTTCTGTCCTTTGGATTCAGTACTTGTACAGCTGCAAAGTTTATAATTTAAAGACAATGGAAGTATGAACTGTGTTCTGGATGCTTGAATCCTCAGTTTACAACAGGAAATAAAAAGTGTAACTGGCTTTTGTAGTTTGCATGGGTCAGATAAACCGGTTAGATGAAGGTGGTCCAAACCAGATACCAACTCAGGCCAGCCACAGGATTTAGGATTCCTTGTGGGGTTTTTTTCTGCCTCCCTGAAATGGATGAGAGATGACATCCTTTTCTACACAATAACGAACATTAATGCCTTTGTGACAACTGAAATAAAAGAGCTAAAATTAAAGGCTTATAGTATGCAAATAAACTGACTATACATCAACATAATGCTTAAGTTTATATTCCAGACTGAAAATTAATTTATTCCAGTGTGCAAGAGCTTCCTTTCTTAAAAATAAGCCCCAACAGGAATCATATTTTCCTCAGTTCACTGGTTTGTTTCATATGCATCTTTATTACTAATGCTGAAAGGAGCACACAAGCTATGCATCACAGAATATTCAACTGTGTCTGTTTTAAAAGTTGACACCCCATCAATCATCTCACAACACAAAATAGCCTCCTATGTAGAGGGAGATATCAAAGGGCAGGACATGAGCTGATGCGGGACATGTTAAAAGGGCTGTTGTAAATCATCCCTTTGTAAGGTCATTATCATGCTGTGGCCAAAGGACCAAGGCAGCCCTTCTCTAGCTACTAGATGTATAAATAAATAAACTCATTGCTTCATATTCTGGCCTGATGATAGTTACTGTAACTCTACATTTAACTCTGTTCCTCAAAGTTCAGGACTCCACAAGAGCAATAAAAACATTCAAATACTGGAAAGAATGGTTTGGGGTTTTGTTTCTTTTTTTTGCTCATTTCATTTTGTTTTGTTTCTTAAATAATCAATGGGGTTCAATGTACACCCTCAATAAGGAAAAACATTTTGTTGCCATCTATGAGTACGAACAAAGAAATCTTAGTTTGGATAACAAATATTTGATAGAATTTTAAACAATACAGGTGACATGTCCTTTTAACAAAGGATATTTAACCAGGGGAAAAGCTGTGTGTGGCAGGCAGTCACAGGTAATAGTGATCAACCATCACAAGAGAAGATATTTCCAAAGTTTTGTGGGAGTTTAGATACAATGATCATAATGGTTCTGTCTAGGCTCATATCCACATCTCATATGTCATATCTCATTTGTCTTGTTTCTTCTTTTTCCAGGTGGTGTTCACAGCTAATGATTCTGGTTATCGACATTACTCCATTACTGTTTTCCTCAGTCCCTTTTCTTACTCAAATACAGCAGTAGTTAGTGAGCCAGTGGAATAGAAGGTGACATTAAGCATGAAAATTTAGACATGTAAATTAAAATTTCCATAAATCATAAGAGTTTTGCTTCTGACTTCACCAACAGGTATTGTCTTTGTTTTCACAGACTCTTCTGAATACAAGCATTCTGTATTTCGGTATTCTCTAAGTACTGCTCTTCTGAATAAAACTTTAGAAATGTGAATAAAGTGTGTCAGAAAAAACACATTAAGCTTAGAAAGAATGCATTGAAATTCCATTTCTGGGATTCTGAAAATAAATATTCCATGAAGTTAATAAGCAATATTCCTTCTTGCAAAAGAAGCGAATAAAACACATCTGGAAGGTGTCTCACGAAAAGCAAGCAGAGAGGTACTGCAATCCACCACCTACCATCATCTGTGCTTTATTACTGAAGCCCCCAACAGACAAAGTGACATGGGACTGCTGCCCAGGGCCCCACACAATCATCAGATAAAATTCAGAATTGGGAAGCGAGTTTTAAGAGTTTAAGATATAGAAGCGAAAGCAGCTTCAAAGTGACAGTAAGGTAGAACAGCATTGAGGATTTAGATGCTACATACTTAAAAGGCCTTCTTTTCCTGCTTTCCAATATATTATAACCTGTGACTCTTTCAAGGAGACTCCACATCCAGTGCTGCAGTAAAGCATATCCATCAAATATACCCAAAGAAGTTTATTCATGTTTTTTCATAAAACTGTAAAAATATCTTTATCCCCAGTTGAAGTACTCCCCAAAATTACTTTCATACCTTTAACCATCAGACGTTTTTGTAATACCTATAAGATACGAAGAAAAATTAGAAGGATAATTGATGACTCCCAAGAAAACCACCTCCCTATTTAATTCCAGGAGAAATATGGATGAACACTTCTATTTTTCATTCTTGTAATTCATATATAAGGAAAATTACTCCTAAACAGAAATAAGTATAGAGAAGAACCATCAGAAGATTTGACAGAATAGCAGCCCAATCTTGGAAAGCTATGCAAAAATATTGAGTCATCTAGCCTAATAAAACCAAAAGCTGAAATCATAAATACCAATAAAAGAAAAATGATTTGCTAGGCTAAGATTTGATCCATCTCAGCCTAACCTCACCAGGTGTCCCTTCCTTTTGGTGTTACTTTGAGGAACTGTCTATAAACAAAACAAAAAGAAGATATGTTCTCCACAGAACCTCAGAATAAACAAACCAACACAATCTTTAGAACATTATATTTCATAAAAGACAATGATAAAAAAGTACAAACATTTTCATGAGCAACAAAAAACCAAAACTATGACAGTACACAGGAAATTCCCAGCATTTGTTTCAGTGCATTTTTCATTAAGCCTATCTTACATACCTCTACAAATAAAATAATTTTAAGTACACTTCCTCTGGCTGATATGCAATGGATCCTTTTAATATTTTTAAGTAACTGACTCATAAGCAACCCACAACAATATACTTATTGGTAAACATGATAGAAAAATAGACTGGTAAGATCCAAGAAAACGGACATTTTGCACTTGCTTTTCAATCTATTGTCTACTGCAAAATGGATTTTAAATTTTATATCCTCCTACTTAAAGCTGAAATACTGCAAAAGGGCTTAAGAGAATCTTAGCATACTGAAATTCCACTGTTAATATTTTTGTAATGTTTTAACTTGTTAATCTGTACGATCTTCAGAATCTTTTAAAATACTCCCTCTTTCTCCTCCCTCCATTCACTCCTTTAAGACATCCTTAATTTGCCTTGTCAGCAAGGCAAAAGCTAAGCTGATTGGCTTCTCTCTACAAGAATCATGAAAAGATCAAAAGGAATGTGCACAAATCTTCATTCTGAATCGCATTTATTTTGTTCGAAGGCACTGTCTATGTTAAAAGTCACTACAGAATAGTACTGAGTTGAAGCAGGTAGTATACAAACACTATTTTGATGAAATTTAAGATGGCAACTTTTAAAACCTCCCAAGAAAGTGATAAAAGGTTATTTAGAGAAGAGTGTTGGTTAACAATTCATAATTTAACATCCATCATTTTGGGGCACCAAAATGTAAACTTTTTAAGAACTCAGCTATATGTCATAATCCATTCACACATTGATTTGAATCACATATTTCTAAGACCTTACAAGATTATTAATCACTTAGAGCTGTAAAGTTACATTAGTTCAGCCATGGCATATACACATATATATATACACATATATATGCATTAGATTTTTACAAGGAAATTGCTTGTGTAATCAGAGACCAGGTTAGAAAAGCTAAAGCCCTGACCGAGTCAAACCTGGCCAGTGACATTCGAAATAATAGAGAAGGATTTTACAGCTACATAAGAGAAAAAAGAAAAATGAGAGACAATGTGGGGCCTCTCCGGAAGGATACAGGTGACCTGGTTACAGAGGACGTGGAGAAGGCTGAAATACTCAACAACTTTTTTGCCTCAGTCTTCACTGGCAACCACTCGAACCACATCACCCAAATCACAGAGGGTGTTGGCTGGGTCTGGGAGAGTGAAGAACCACCCAGGGTAGAAGCAGATCAGGTCCAGGAACACCTAGACAACCTGAAGGTGCACCAGTCCATGGGACCTGATGAGATACATCCATGGGTCCTGAAGGAACTGACAGCTGAAGTTTCTAGGCCACTGGCCACTGTATTGAGAGGTCCTGGCAGTCTGGTGAGGTTCCCACAGACTGGAAAAGGGCAAACATAACGCCCATCTTTGAAAAAGGGATCAAGGACAACCCGGGGAGCTACAGACCAGTCAGCC